TAAAGAATATGTTCAGAATACACATCTAATGTAGAACACTAAAAAAAATAATATAGAAATTGAATGAACAAGGAATGAGTCCTACACCGAGATGACTCGAAGATGCCGATGCAGAAGAGTCTCCACTCTTTCATTCATTCAATTTTATATCATTCTTTTGGAGTTCTGGTTTAGTTCTATGCTCTAAATACGTTCATGTTCTCATGCATTCTAAATGGGTTGCATCACCTTCGAGTGTCAATCAGCATGTGCTTACCCTGATATTCGGGGAATATCGAGATCGGGACGTGTCAATGTTAAAGTTTTCTCTTCCTTCCATTTCCATTCACCCACTCTCCTTCAATTCGAAACCAATTCACGTACCTAATAGTCCTTTTGACCTCTCTCTTGAAATGTGATGAAAATAATAAGGAAAATCTTTCACAAACAAACAAATATATGTTAATTTTTAAATTTGAAACACACAAATGTAAGTGACACTTGATACTACACGTTAGTGATATTTCTTTTAATTTGTAAATGAAATGTTTTGAATTTAATTATTGTGAATGGCAAGTTCGATTTCAATTTATTTTATGAATATATGATTTATACAGAAGGAAAAAAAAAGACGTAACCAACGGCAGTGTTTTGAGAGTTTTTAATCATTTTTTAATCGGCGGTTAAATAATCGATGGTAGGCGGGTGAAGCTCTGGCCCGCTCTGCTCTGCGTCGCACACAGAGAAGCTGGGAGGGCAGAGATGACTATTCTCATCAAGTCAACCTTCTCTCTCACTCTTGAATTGTTGCATACAAATATCCAAAATTAATTTTTCTCCTGCTTTTCTTTATTTTCTTCGTGTTGGTATTGCTGCTGCTGTTGTGTTTCTGTTTAGTTTCTTGCCTTTGGGCTTTTGGCTCTCTCTATCCCTCTTCCTTTTTCTCAGATCATCAAACTTCATACTTGATCATCAACAACCACGTATTACAAAAAAGAAAAAAGAAAAAGAAATTCTTAGACCTAAATTAGAATAGGGATTAGGGGTCTCTCTCAAATCAAAGCATCCTTGGACCTTGACCACCACAACTCCATAACTACTCAAAGCATTAGGTATGCACTTGTTTCTTTTATTTATTTATTTTTTTTTCTGGTAATTTAGTTTAAAAAAGCATAATACTAAACTTAATAATTGGGCATGGTTTTCATTCACAACTATGTAATTTACTCAACTTTTTGTTGAATCTGTCTGAATTACCAGATTAATCTAATCTAATCGAAACCCTGATCTGTGCGGTGATCAATCTGGATCCACCTCGGCCCCGTGGAAGACACTTACATAAAGATGATGAATTTGCAGTTTCTTAGAACGCATTGTATCTGGGTTAGGTGTTGTTGTGCTTTATCTTACCGATCCAATGCTCTGATTGTGTCTTTTTCACTTTACTCGGCTCCCTATTTCTACTGCTTGTAGTTCAAGTAGGAAATGCAAATATTGCATTTTGTAGCTTCTTCCTTAAAAGCTGACATCAAGCTGTTGGCAACACCTAGAGTTCAGTGATTCCACATATTAGTTTTGTTGATCCGCAAGATATAGGAAAGTTGGAATGTTTGATTCTGACTTCCAGTTCTTAGTCGAACGTGATAATTTTTGCTGCTCTAGTGTATCTTACTGACCCAATCTAGTGTAGTTTGTCTACAACATTCGTGCAATGCCAACACTTGCAGTATACTACACATGTGTAGTTAGAAAACAGTTCAGTTCATTTCCTATACACTTTGCACCCGTTCATTTTGGTTTTCTTTTGATTTTAGGGCTGATTCAGTTTTACCGCTAGTTTGTGATTGTTGGTGTGCTGTTCTAACCGTGTGCTATCTTACTTTGGTGCAGTAGGAGGATTTAGGTCAGATGGCTGACAGTTGGCATGGAAACTATGATACTGGCAGTCAGTCAGATGACAGCCATAAATTTGAGAGAATGCACATAGAGCCTATTTATGATGCATTTTTTTGTCCTTTAACGAAGCAAGTTATGCGCAATCCTGTTACCTTAGAAAACGGTCAAACATTTGAGCGAGAAGCAATTGAAAAGTGGTTTAGGGAATGCAAGCAGAGTGGAAGGAAGTTGGTCTGCCCACTGACACTACAAGAATTGCAAAGCACTGAGCTAAAGCCTAGCATAGCGCTGAGGAACACCATTGAAGAGTGGAATGCTAGAAATGAATCTGCTCAGCTTGATATGGCTCGACAGTCGTTGAATCTGAGCAGCTCAGAAAGTGAAGTTCTTTTGGCCTTGAAGTTTGTCCAGCAAATCTGCCAAAAAAGCAGATCAAATAAGCACGATGCCCGCAATGCAGGGCTGATACCTATGATAGTTGACATGTTGAAGAGCAGCAGTCGTAAAGTAAGGTGTAAAGCCTTGGAAACCCTTAAAACTGTGGTGGAGGAGGATTCCGATAATAAGGTAATCCTAGATTTTTCTGGTTCTCTTTTCGTTTTCCATGAAATTGCAAACATGGATGTTTTGTAGGGACTCATATTAATATCTGTTTGGTTTTGGTTATAGGAAGTATTGGCTGATGGGGACACAGTACGAACTATAGTGAAGTTCTTGTCTCACGAGCAATCCAAAGAGAGGGAGGAAGCTGTATCTTTGCTGTATGAACTATCCAAATCTGAAGCCTTATGTGAGAAGATTGGTTCAATTAATGGAGCGATTCTTATTTTGGTTGGAATGACAAGTAGCAAATCAGATAACATTTTGACTGTTGAGAACGCTGACAAAACACTGGAGAATCTGGAGAAGTATGAGAACAATGTGAGACAGATGGCTGAAAATGGTAGACTGCAGCCTCTTCTGACACAAATTCGTGAAGGTACTTGTACTACTTGTACTTTCTCTTATCTTTACACTTTTCTCAGTATGTTGCTAGAAGTAGGGCAACCAAACAGCCAATACTCTTTGGACAATTTATTTCGCACTTAGTGATGGGCTACAAGGCCTGCAAATATGGTAAAGAAACATTTATTTTTATATATATGTTTTTTTCAAAGACAATACAAAAAACCGTGCTGAACTGAACTATCGTAATTTCTGCACCTTGCCTATCGTCTCCAGTCCACCATAGCTTGCACGATTCTGATGAGTATTTGACCCAAGATGAGTTTTCCTACTTATGAGACAACTATCCATTTTTTATTTTTTGTAATAATTAATGTTGCTGTCCAGCCTATGACTTCTTGGTCTAAACTCGAGTACTCATTAATTTCCTCTATTTCCACCTCTGATATTGTAGTTCGTGGGGGGGTTTTGCTGTATGGTGGACTGTTGGTATTAGTTTGAGCTATACTTCTCTTTTATTGTTTTAAACTAAGATATTTAAGTTTTATCTCTCTTAAAAAAACTATGTTGAGCATAACTCAAATTTCCTTCTTGACATGATTGCAGGCCCTCCAGAAACCCAACTTTCGATGTCTAATTTCCTTGGTGAATTAGTTTTGGACAATGATGTAAAGGTCCTAGTGGCTAAAAGTGTTGGTTCAGCTTTGATCAATATCATGAGAAGTGGTAATATGCAGTCAAGAGAAGCAGCTTTGAAAGCTCTCAACCAAATTTCATCTTGTGAGGCGAGTGCCAAGGTGCTGATAGAAGCAGGAATACTTCCATCTCTGGTCAAAGATCTCTTTACCGTTGGGACTAACCAGCTTCCTATGCGATTGAAAGAGGTTGCTGCAACAATTCTTGCTAATGTTGTTAGCTCGGACTATGATTTTGATTCGATCTTGGTTGGACCTGATCAGCAAACGCTAGTCTCTGAAGACATTGTCCATAACCTACTACATCTCATTAGCAACACTGGACCAGCAATCGAGAGCAAGCTTCTCCAGGTTCTTGTTGGACTCACTTGCTCTCCTTCAGCTGTTCTGAGTGTTGTTGCCGCCATTAAAAGCTCCGGTGCCATTATTAGCTTAGTGCAGTTTATTGAGGCTCCACAAAAGGAATTGCGTGTGGCTTCCATTAAACTTCTCCAGAACCTCTCCCCACATGTGGGTCAGGAGCTAGCTGATGCCCTACGTGGCACAGTGGGCCAACTTGGAAGCCTAATTAAAGTCATATCAGAAGATATTTCAATCACTGAAGAGCAAGCAGCAGCCATTGGCCTCGTAGCTGAACTTCCGGAGAGGGATCTAGGCCTTGCCAGGCAAATGCTAGATGACGGTGCCTTTAAGCTGATACATTCTAGAGTAGTTAAGATCCGCCAAGGGGGGAGTAAGGGTGGCCGCTTTGTGACGCCATTTTTAGAAGGACTTGTACGAGTTCTAGCAAGGGTTACGCTTGTGTTGGCTGATGAGCAAGATGCAGTTGCTCTGTGCCGTGAACTTAATCTTGCTGCACTTTTCATTGAACTTGTACAGGCCAATGGACTGGAGAATGTGCAGATGAGTTCGGCAGCAGCATTGGAGAACTTATCACAAGAATCCAAAAATTTGACAAGATTGCCCGAGTTGCCCACACCAAGTTTCTGTGCTTCAGTTTTTCCATGTTTTAGCAAACAACCTGCCATAAATGGATTGTGTCGGCTTCATCGTGGGACGTGTTCACTTAGAGAAAGTTTTTGTCTCCTGGAGGGACATGCTGTGGAAAAGTTGGTAGCTCTTCTCGACCACACAAATGAGAAGGTGGTCGAAGCAGCACTTGCAGCACTCTCTACTTTGTTGGATGATGGGGTTGATATTGAACAAGGGGTTATGGTGTTGTGTGAAGCAGAGGGTGTGAAGCCTATTCTTGACGTGTTGTTAGAGAAACGGACAGAGAATCTGAGGAGGAGGGCAGTCTGGGTAGTTGAAAGACTACTGCGGAGTGATGAGATAACCTATGAAGTTTCTGGGGATCCGAACGTGAGCACCGCACTTGTTGATGCCTTCCAGCATGGTGACTATCGAACGCGGCAGATTGCTGAACATGCCCTGAAGCACGTTGACAGGTTACCGAACTTCTCTGGTGTCTTTCCGAACGCAGGATAAAGTTTGCGAAGGTGCAATTGGAGGAGGGTATATATTTGTTGTATTCAGATTTTTTCATTTGTTTTAAAGGATGGTTCATGGTGGTGTGTCCATCGACTTGGGTCTGTTAATGAACTGCTTTTTGCGTAGAAATTCCCAAGGAAAGTTGTGTTTACGCTCGAGTTTCGTCTTTGGACACCCCACTTCTTTGGACGCTTATGTTTAAATTTACAAGTTTTTTTCGGATACCCATTGAAACTTAAATTATATTCCGAATTTGACCCCAAATTAAAGCTTGTTAAATAAAAATAAAATCAACAAAATTCAATTCAATTCAATGTAGTTGCAACATATGAACATGATGCGGGGGGAATAATTATTACAGAATCAATTTCATGAATGTTGGTGAACAAATTACATCCGCGACTACATGAGCGAGCGAGCGAGCATACCATATATTTCCCTACTGGTCGGGGTTTTTATCAAGAACATCCATTCAAACCGTTCAACACTGAAATTGCCAGTAGCAGGTACGCCCACAATGCTCTTGAGAAGAAAGAGAGAACAACAGCGTTGATGATCATGCGTGTAATATTTTGTTTCTGTGATTTACAATGTAGAGAGGACCTTACAGTCTTTACCTTACAGATGTAGCACAGCCATTGACTTGGACAAGCACGAAGAAGCATCCAGCTCGCGAGTTACAAAGTTCCTTGAGATATGACTCCACTTCATCCCCATATCAGACACATCACATGCAGTCAAAAAATCCAATACTTGACCAAATATTTTGAACATCTCAATACCGAATATCACGTTTCCATCTGCCACAAACGCAGCATTCCAGTCCATTGGAGCGTCAGGATGTACTGAGACCTCGGTCCAGTTAAGGTGCATGAGATCCAGCTCCCATACTTTTCTAACGGCCTTGTTTCTCCGGCCTATCTGACCATCCCCTTCGCACCAGAAGACAGAAAGCATGAAGAGCCGGCCATTACAAGATACCAGTTTTGGGTAATATTCATGAACGCGGGGTGGGAAAGGAGTGGTTTGGATTCCAATCCAGAAACCCCTTTCTATGTCATACCCTGCGAGCTTGTCAGTTTCAGAATAAACATAAAACATCCCATTACAAACAACCCCAGAACAAGCAAACCCAAAGTCCACAGGCAACCCTCGAATTTCTGTCCATTTCTTTGAAACAGAATCATATATTTCTCCAGAATCCAAAGGTTCATCCCAGGATCCAAGACCACCTACAGCAATGAGCACAAACCTTCTACAACCCTTCATGGATGAGTGATCACTTTTTTGTTTCAAAAATTTATACGACTTTCTATTGGGCAACACCGAAGACTCATTGTCGTCAGCAGAATGTCTGTGTTGACGCCTAAGAGAAAGCCTGTGAGGATCTTCATAAACCTCTGACACTCCACCTACCCGTGATCTGGAAATACGTCTATCTTGGCGACTTTGATAACTTTGACTGGTGGAAAAATCTGAAGTTACCTCCGAAACTCCTAAAATAGGCATTGATCTTGCATACTTCATTGGAGCAACTTTGCGCCAAGATTTTGTTAGGGGACTAAACAGTATCACCCCTTTGTGTGTCTTAAATGAGCTCCTATCCACCCTCCCAAAGTTGTTCAAGCTAGAACAACCTCCAACAATGTAAATATCATCCTGGACACTAGCAACAGAAAACATGAACCTTCCCTTTAGAATGCCAGCATCTATACCATGCCATTGGTTTAGAGACACATCCAATGCATGTATCTCCCCAGAGCAATAACCATCTTTAACAGCACCAAAAAGAAACAACCATGGGTTTTGATGTGAGCCTTCCCGTCTCATCTGCAGGAAACGAGTAGTAGTAGTCAAGTGTTTCCATTTCTTGCACACGAGGCGTGCAGTCATGAGACTGGTTAGTGGGAGCCTCACCAAACACATTTCCAGTATGTCATCTGGAAGAAAAATGTGCATCCTACTATTTCTTATTGATTCTTCAAGCTCAAAATCCTTTCTGTTATGCTTCTTCAAAAATCTCTCCCTCACCCCATACGAGAAGCAATCAACTCCAGAATTCTCGGTACCACATATTGGCCTGTATCCTTTGCCATCATCCCTGGCACTGGAAGGCCTCCTCCTGTTACTGGTATCCCCAAAATCATCACCTGTGTCAGCGCCTACTCTGCAACCTCCACCCCTACCATACAGAGTAAGACATCTCAAAGATATTCCCCTCACATCATCATCATCATCATCATCATCCTCATCTCCTACAGATCTCTGATTCTTCTTCCTCAACTTCTGGCTAACACTTCTCATGAGACGCTTTGACACACTCAAAGCTTCAACATCTTGACGAAGAGATTCTTCACCGGATGGTCTCCCAGAGTACATTCTGTTCTGTAATCATTAGCAAGCAAAAGAACGCACTCTCTTGCAAGAGTCATCAACCCTAAAAGATGAAATAAAACCACAAACATAAGATACTGATCAAGAGTTGAGTAAACATCAGCACGTACTTGCACATACGTTTGGCACTCCCAAAAATTCATATAGAACACGAGCGGTGAAATCATGTGCAGCAGCATACTTAGCATTTGGTAGGGTTGTTTAAAACTATATGCCCTCGAAAAAAAAGAGATAAATTGAAGCATTCCGTTGTCTAATCACAAGAAAAGAAATTTGATTACTCAAACAAAACTCGGTTGACTTTACAACCTCGCAAATCTTTGTGGCTCCTAAATTCATTAACATCTCATTAACCGATAAAAGACAGGTACTTAAACTTGCACAAAAATGAGAAAACAAGCACAGAACAAACATTCAAATTAAGAACTTACCTTTTTTTTGGTTTCCGGGGTTTTCCCTTTCCCTTCAGTTTTCTGGGCAACCCAACGCAGAATACCATATTCAGTCAAAATCAACATACGTCGATGAGATCGACATTTCCAGACACGGAACGTGTTTGGCTGGCGAGAAACGAGAGGAGAGGAGTAATTTCGAATTTGGAAACGATTGATATGGAATGAATTGAAAAGAAAAAAAAAAGAAATGGAGAAAATAAAAAAGGGAAAGGAAAAGAGTTGGAAAAGCAGAGGGGGCAACTGAGGGCAGCACTGTTGAGTTGAAGTGAGCGATCTGAGAGCTATGAAATGGGATTGAATGATGGAAAAGAAGGTAAAGCGACGAAGAAAGAAAAATGGGGATGAGATTCTCCGATTATAAAAATTCAGCTGCGAGTATTGTTATAAAAATTGAATACTTGGAATTTTTTAATCAAAAGAGGTCCGAAAGATTAACGGTGACCTGAAATGATTAATTTTTAAATTATATTTTGTAAATAGTATGATTTGGTCTAATATTAATTGTCATATCAAATGATCACGAAAGATGGTCTAAAATTTGCTTCTTATAGAATTTTTCACAGATTAAAATGTATTATTTTTTGTAAAATGATTGATTACAAGATTCGATTAGTGTATCTTTTTGGGCCCAAAATATTATTGTTGGGCCGAGCAGCAGGATACTATGGGCCGAATAATAAATCCCGGGCCAGTTGGCAGGGTCGGCCAAATCCTATCCTAAGTAGTCCGGATAAATAGAAAGGGTCGAGGAAGTCCTGGTGCGACCAGGATTCTCGACCGGCAAGGAATAAAGCCTCGAAAAGAAGGAAAATTTAGAATCCCAGTAGGAGTAGGTTTATTCAAGTTAGAGTCGAAATGGGACAAGGACTCCCAATCCAAATCAGAATTGGTCTCAAGGAATGGGGTGCTATAAATACAAGAAATCATGCAACAGAAAAGCCCCTTCAAAATCAGCATACAATTGCCCTGCGCAAAACCTCTCAAACATCTTGAGATTTTTCCTTTTCTTTTCCTGCCGACACACCTTCAGTTTGGATAAACAGCACTGTGGAAGCACCCGGCGAGCATCTTCAGTTTGGATAAACAGCATTGCTGCCGCAGAATCAGCCGACCGAGAAGCACCTTCAGTTTGGATAAACAGCACTGCGTCGAGATCGACCGGTTATCTATCTCAGTCTCGACCGAGAAGGGTTTTCGAACCTTTGTTGGCAGAGGTCACCTTACTAGCCTTCTCGGCATAGTCAGGTGTTACGAATTGCATTACTCGGCGTACTAGACGCCGACTGGTTTTATGATTGGATACTCGCAAGTAAGTTTCAGGGTTTGGCATTCCGACGGCCGAACTACGTTTACCATCAAGACATATATCACGTTTGAGTACCTGTGCCCATATAGTTTGGTCTCGATTCGACGTGCTTATGCTCTGACGAATATAATCACAGTGACCGAATCGGGCTCCGACGATTTGTGAACTCCGCAGAATTAGTAGCCTTGTCTTCAGGCTGTAGAACCCAGAGACCGAGAGTGTTCCTTCCTCGGTCGCAATCGCAAGATAGAGAAGTCAACAACGCGCTCAACGCGACATCAACAAATTTTACTCCTCGGCCAAGCTCGGCTGACGAGTTGGCACGCCCCGCATTCGACCGAAGGACGTAGTTAGCTTATTAGTTACTCGGCCTGTGCACCACGTAGGTTTTGTAATTTTTAGAGTCAACAGTACCTACACGATTATAAGATTCGGTTAATGTACCTATGCCTTCTAAGCAAGATCACTAGTTTTTTTCATCATCTAAAATAATACAAGTCCAAAGATATACTCTCACTAAAGTAGCTAACTATTTTTCTCTCCTCTTTGGCTTGCGTAGACCTCTTGTTCTCTCATAGAAATGATAAGACTTGGTGACGTGTTTTTTTTTATTTTTATGTTTTATTTTTATTTTGGCAAAAGACTTGGTGACGTGTTTACAAATAAGGTCTCCACACCTATTTAAGTAGATGATGTGAAGTACGAACAAAATGGCTTTGTTAGTGATTTGTAGGTGAATTGTGGGTGGCTTTGTCATCCACCACTTGTTTCTTCTTCTCCTTTCGATGTGTGGGCATTCATATTATTACAACACTCTTCTTTGTATGCCTACATATTATTGATAATCACATTAATTTGTTAGAAAAATGACCAATGTGATAAAATAGTACACGTACGATATGTTTGAAGTTGCGTACTTTTGGAGTGGAAACTCCTCCTCATCGATATCTCTTCCTGATTATAATAAGTTTAACGAACCAATCGTTATAGTGGGTATTGGAATTTGTCTTAACTTCAATTACTTTGGCCTTTCTAAGCTTATGTGTATTGAAAAGCTTTGAAGATATACATTTAGTTTTATCACCCTTGATGAATATTTTCTTCATTTGAGCAATACAAGTTGCATTATTTTCATAAATGATAGTTGGAGTGTTTGTTTTTTACGGTAGACCACATGCCTTGCAAATATGAATGGAACATTGGTCTTAATCAAAGACATTCATGACTAGCTGAGGATATGTATTTCTAAAACATTTGAAAATGTAGCAACAAATGTTTGCCTCTTTGAGCATTGTACAACCAGATCTATTTCCATTGGTAAATGCAAATCATTTTTGTAAGTGATCTTTATGCAGGCTAAATATATTCAGATTATGCCCTAAGATCATGGATATTAGTAAGTTAATTGAAATAGAACAAGCACATGTCTATATATTCATAAAAAATGTAACATTTGATTTAATATATTGTGTTAAATATAGTAAGGCACATCTTTCACTAATATATGTTACTTCTAGATTAAAGAGGGTGTATTCAATTGAAAATTTGAGAGATTTTAATGGATTTATAAATCCATGGATTTTTATAGAGTTTAATTGATTTGTTGAGATTCCATATAAAATTTTGATTCGATTCCCTCGAAATATCATGGAGAGAGGTGAGATTTGTAAATGCTTAAAATACACTACGAAATATCTCCAATTCCCTCTAATTCTTCAATTTTCTCAAATTCTTTAAAATCAATTTCTAATTGAATACACCTATAATGTTATATAAACTTCTTTAAAATCCTAATTGAATACACCGGATTTCTAAAGATTTTAATAAACTATCTTAAAATTCTAATTGAATACATCTTAAATTTCAGAGAATCACTTAAAATTCTGATCGAATACCCCTAAATTCATTAAAAGAATTAAAATCTCTCAAAATTACAATTGGATACAACCCCTTAAGTATCAATACATCATTTCCATAAGGAGAATGAATGATCTTGTGATAAATTACCCTCCATAGTTGTTTATGGAATAATTGAGTTTAATTCGGAATGGCTATTTCAAAACTGATATCAACAAAGTGGGTACCCATTTTTGGTAAATCGAGCAGATTGTGGTGCTATGGTGGCTTGGAGGTCGTAGTGCAAGAGGGAGGTATGGAGATGGAGATGGAGGTCGTGGGGCCGTGGTGGTGGGAGAGAGAGACTTGATCTGCAAGTGGGTTGTTTGATGAGAATCGTAAAGAGAGGTTTGAATATTAAGATGGGGGGAAGGAATAATTGTTGGTGGTTGAAATGCAGGAGTGGTGATGACTATACTGGGGTGGCACGATGAATTTTGGCGGCGGCGGCGGTGAGGGGGTGGCACGATGAATTTTGGTGGCGGCGGCGATGAGGGGTGGCATGATGAAGGGAGAGAGAGAGAGAGAGAGAGAGAGAGAGAGAGAGAGAGTATGGTGATGTGGCGGCCAGAGAAGTAGGAGATATTTTTCATCATTTATATAAAAACACGTGATGTATCATTTTTATTCCAGTTACAATATTTTATATATAGAAGGTTTTAAATTCGAGTTGAATGAATAGTCTATTAAAAAAGGCAAAATAGGTAGCCTATGCGTTGTAGACTGCTTGCGCTCAATTTGCTCCCATCAATTTAGGGAAGACCTTCAGATGTGAGGAAACTGTATTAAATTGAACAGCAGCGGTTGGATTGGACAAAATCTGATTCAAATTTTGCACAGAAAACTCTGATGATAATAATTATTTCAAAAGATAATCATTCAGAGAATTGTCTTAATTTGTAATTTACTTGATGATTTTGTTTCCCCTCCTCAATTGTCATTCAATTTGTTGGAACTTGTGTTTTATGTGGGACTTGGAGTCCCACGTCGCCCAAACACTCCTTGAACATCACCTTTATAAGTGAATGGACTCACTTATAGTTTGAATTGATTTGGGCCAAAGCCATGAACCTTGGGTCTTAGACTTGGAGGGTTTGGATGCATATATTAAATGTCAAATATGGGACTTGGGCCTTGGGGCTCGGATGGACGAAAAACCCAAGTATCATTTTTACGTTTTTGATCTTTTCATTCAGTTTTTTTTTTTTGAAATGATAAAACCGATCATGGGCTCGGATGGACGAAAAACCCAAGTATCATTTTTACGTTTTTGATCTTTTCATTCAGTTTTTTTTTTGTTGAAATGATAAAACCGATCATGGGCTCGGATGGACGAAAAACCCAAGTATCATTTTTACGTTTTTGATCTTTTCATTCAGTTTTTTTTTTTGAAATGATAAAACCGATCATGGGCTCGGATGGACGAAAAATCCAAGTATCATTTTTACGTTTTTGATCTTTTCATTCAGTTTTTTTTTTTTGAAATGATAAAACCGATCATGGGCTCGGATGGACGAAAAACCCAAGTATCATTTTTACGTTTTTGATCTTTTCATTCAGTTTTTTTTTTTTGAAATGATAAAACCGATCATGTGCTCGGATGGACGAAAAACCCAAGTATCATTTTTACGTTTTTGATCTTTTCATTCAGTTTTTTTTTTTTGAAATGATAAAACCGATCATTTATGAACGATTTCAATTGCTCGTTTATGAACGGTTTCAACTGCTCATTTATGAACAGTTTCAACTGCTCGTTTATGCCATTATATATGGCTGTCGGATCAGAAACAAGATACAAATCTTCCATCAAATTCTTCACAGTTTATAGAGAAACACCACAACTAATTCGCCAAGAATCCGAGTTCGAGTGCAAGAACTTGGATTAGATAGTTGTATCCTGCAAGATAGACGTCCAAGGACTGCTGCACTCGTGTAGGGACGAATTTCTGTCTTAGGAGATTGCTTCTGCAAGCCTCTATCTTCAAGAAACAAGTCAGTGATTTGTGATTTTATATATAATCTCATTAAGTGTTTATGTTCTAATATATTGTGTTTGTCGTTGAGTTTTTCCATTTGAAATAAAATTGTGCAAATTGTTATATAATATACACTTGACATTTGATTGGTTATAACACAATTGTCATTACAAAACAAGCATTTGCTGATAACAAATACTGCTAAACCCTGGCTCCTCTACAATTAGCCGAAAAGATAGC